CTGGAAATTCAATAGGATCTTCAGTCATCGTGAGATATGTTGCCCCACGATTTTTTAATGCAAATGGGTCATTTTGTTCTATTTTAAGAGATTTATCTAAGTCGGCAAGTGATTCGTTATACCTTTTCATTATTCTATAAACAGCACCACGATTTTTTAATGCAAATTCATCATCTGGATCTATTTTGAGAGATTTATCCAAGTCTGCAAGTGATTCATCATACTTTTCCAATATTCTATAAATTGCACCCCTATTCTTTAGAGCAAATGTATTATTTGGATCCACCTCTAAATACTTATTTAAGTTTGCGAGTGATTCGTCAAATCTTCTCAATACACAATTAACATCCTCACGCATTTGCAAAGCAAATACATAATTTGGATTAATTTTTAAAGCTTCATTTAAGTCTTTGATTGGCTCTTCATATCTTTGAATCTTAAAATATGTTATTCCACGAAACTTTAATGCCCATACATTGTTTGGTTCAATGTCGAATGATTTGTTTAAATCTGCTAGAGATTCTTCATACATTCCCATCATATGATAGGTTTCTCATGCTGTCTTAATGCGCATGTATCCATTGGAACGATTTCTAAACATTTGATCAAATCTTTAAGTGATTGGTATAATTTGTCATATTAAAATATGTTGCACCACATTGCTTTAATGCCCATAAATCATCGGGTTTTGTTTTTAATAAATTATCAAAAATATCAACTAATTCATTGTACCTATACAATTCATAATCTAATCTTGTAATTCCTAAAAAATTTAGATTCCATCTATTGTTATTCGTAATTCCTAAAAAATTTAGATTCTATCTATTGTTATTCAAGATATTAATTTTAAGCTTTGGATAAATTTTTAAAAGAGTATCCTTCTTTTCTATTGAAGAACTTGAGTTATCACGCATACATAAAATAAAATCAACACTACGATTATTTTTATTAAGATAGGTTCAAAAACCTGATTTAATCGATTTGTTTTTAGATTGAAATTTTCAGAATAATCAAAGTATAACTTAATCGAGTGTTCAAGACTTTTGAATGGAACATTCACGAAAGAAGAAAGTGCACAATATGGATTTGTTCTTTGATTCACATGCACTTCAAGTTTTTTTAATTGATTATAGGTTTGATGAATTAGAACGAGCTGTTCTAATGTATAAACTGGAATCTTCAAATATTC